TAACGTTTTTTCAACGGAGAGTCCGTAATGATGATGAATACGTTATATCGAATCATTATTGTTTGTGGTATTTCTGCCACTGTATACAGGGCCTAACGTACCAGGTATGTAAATACGAAACCGGAATTTTTTAAAAGAAAATCCACGTTTATTGCATGAAAATGATAAAAAATATTTTACTCGAAGTATTGCCTATCGCTAGCTATACATTTTTCCCACCTGTTTGACAATTTGTGGATGCCACGCCAAAAAAATTGTTGCTCTTTTGAGCCAAACCAGTCATCTAGCCATTTTCGTACATTTTCGTAAGAAGTGAAGCGCTGCTGACCAAGTGCGTGTCCTATCGATGCAAATAAGTAGTAATCGCTCGGAGCCAAGTCTGGTGAGTAAGCCGCATGCGAAAGTATTTCCCAACCAAACGCCTCAATCGTTTCCTTGACCAGTTTTACTGTGCATGATGGTGCATTATCATGAAGCAAAATCACTTTGTGTTGCCTTTTTTGATATTCCGGTCGTTTTTCACGCAAAGCTTGATTCAAATTCATTATCATTTGTTGTCGGTAGCGTTCAGTATTAACGGTTTCGCCAGGTTTCAGCAGCTCATAATAGATCACACCATTCTGATCCCACCAAACACAGAGCATTGTCTTCCGTCCATAGCGATTTGGCCTTACAGTCGGTGTCGATGGTTCGCCTGGAGTTACCTATGATCTTTTACGCTTAGGATTCTCAAAATATATCCACTTTTCATCGCCAGTCACAATTCGATGGAGAAATGACTTTCTTTTGTACCTAGCGAGCAACATTTCGCAAGTGGTTTTTCGGTTTTCCTGCTGTCTTTTATTCAGTTCATGTGGAACCCATTTTTCCATCTTCTGGATCTTTCCCATGGATTTCAAACGTATGGAGACGGCTTCTCGTGTCACATTCAATTGATTCGCGAGTTGTTGAGTTTGAGCGTCATCCTCATCCAACAATGCTTGCAATTCGTTATCTTCAAACTTTTTCGGTGGTTTTCCACGTTCTTCGTTTCTCACGTCAAAATCGCTACTTTTGAATTTTTTAAACCACTCAAAGCACTGTGATTTACCAAAAGCATGCTCACCGTAAGCTTCGATGAGCATTCGATGCCATTCTGCAGCAGTTTTCTTCAAATGGTAACAGAAAATCAATGCTGTCCGCAAATCGTAGTTTACAGGCACAAAATTCGACACGTTCAACGCTGTTACTGTTGTATGAAACTTGTATTGTTGTGAGTTGAAAATCTTTGTCAGATGTCAGAACAAGGAAATGGCGTCAATGACGCGGTTTGACGGCAACTACATTGACAGCTATGGCCGTCTATTGGTAAATTCCGGTTTTATATTTACATACCTGGTATGTACTTCTTTATGTTCTTTTGCCACTCGCAGTTTACGAGAAATTATTGTTTAAAATATAAAGTATTTATGTGCTATATGATGTCTAATTAGTAATATTGAGCAGATTTTACAAGTGGCTAGAATACATATTGATTTTTATTCACTTTATAGTGTCAGCACGTACATACTTCGCATGAATATTTTAAACAAGGATTTTTTGTAAACTTTTGATCATTGGTAAAATGAATGATATATCATCTATCGTTTTTAACTAACTTCTTATACCGTTCATCTATTTCTCTCTTTAACAACGTTTATTCTGCTCGGTTATGCTGGATTCACACTGTGTCCGATTTGCGTCGTACGACGTTCTGCAATCAATCAGAAAACAGGATTCCGATGATACGAAGCAAAATTCATCGGAATCCTGTTTTCTGATTGGTTGCAGAATGTCGTACGACGCACATCGGATGCAGTGTGAATCCAGCATTATGCCGAAGTTATATAGTGATACATGAAACTGGCCAACCACAGTCATTTCATTCTTCAGAGTAATAGCTATTAGTATTTTCGGCCCGATCGGGTTTGCACCAACTTGGGTTGGATTAATCTTTGCTATTGGTTGACGTCACCTGCTCTACCAATAGGAGAGCACAAAACGCCATTAATCCAACCCAGGTTGGTGCAAACCTGGCCGGGCCGAAAACGCTATAAGATTGGTCAGTTTCGTAACATCGATGTTATAACTTCGGCGTAAATCGAGCCGTGTAAACGTAGTTTATGTTTGTTCAGCATCAGATAAGAACATGTACAAGAACTGACAAATCTGACAATAGTTTGTTCTTTATCGAAGAATTCTCAGAATTGTTGCACGGTGCAATAAGTTCAGAAAGTTCATCGTTACAGATCTATTGTTTCTTTCCGAACGCACTCAGATCAGCAGGGCCCTGTCTGAGTGCAACGCCATCTCCCAGAAAATCGAGCAACTACTATTACACACAATTCCTGGTCTGTTTATCAACCCGAGTCTTCGTTGACAAGCAAATTTACGTGATTTAGAGATTAATGAACATATTTTTTTCTAAGCTTTCAATCTCAGTTCTGTAAACTCAGTATTGTTTGTACACGTTGTACATGCTGTGAGTAGTGCAGTATCTTTTTGTCCATACGAGCTATAAAACTTTTGTAATCTACATCAGTTGACAGCTCTACGTGTTGAAAAAATGTAAGTTTTTAACTTTTTTTCCGATTTTAGTACAAATCTATTGCACCACGACAGAATTTTGCATTTATTTTAACCCTGTAAAAGGATTTTTGATTCCGTTAAATAAATTACCTGTGTTAAGCTAGCCCCCCCCCCCCCCAGCGATAAATGAATTCTAACACATACCAAAATTAAGTGCTAATTAGGTGCTAATTAGGTTCTGAAGTGCGAAATTAGGTGCTCGAACCGTTTGGCAGAAAAAAAATTGTTTTGGGGGGGCTAGCTTAACATTAAGTTAGCCCCCCCCAATAAAAAAAGTAGATAATTATTGCGTAAACAAACAAAACAAAGACACTAGAATTAGGTGCTAATTAGGTGCTCCAATGCGACCAAAATAATTCGAAAATATATATCATATACAGAATTATATACAGAAATTAGGCGTTAGTCAAACAGTCGGAGCTCACAAGAGAGAAGTTGCCTTAAAAAATTAGATGCTCCAACAAATTTGGTGTCAAAATGTTTGTTTTTTAATATTATTTAAAGATATCTAATCGCCGAATTAGGTGCTCGTTCCGTTTGGCAGAAATTCGACCTCCAACATTTCGCTTGACTAAAAGTGACAAGACCTCGTATTTTTTATCTATTACTACATGGGCTGAAAAGTCCCGGGATTTTTAATGAAAACAAGCGTTTTTTGGGCAAAGTTATATTTATTCCTCAACATAATTGCCTTCGAGGGCGATACACTTGG